GAGCCCTTCTTTTGTGAAGATTATTTTTGGAAAATAAATAGAGAATACTTTTTATATGCCTTTGTCCTTGTGCCTTACTGGACGGACCACCACAAGAATACAGAAAACAACTCACTATTTTCATTCATATTTTCAGAAACTAGGTGTTAGCTTTCAAATGTTGTGTCACCCATGTAATTTGGGCTTACACTTCCTCGGTTATTTGGTTTTTCATTTGGGTATGCAAAATAGGCGAGGATTACTTCAAATTAGGTGGGTGTTATTAAGATGGAACACAATTTAATAAGCCGTTATTTAACATTTTATTTTATTAGTCAATTATTTTATAGAATCCCACCTACTAACGGCTCCGCTTAACCATTATAAGATAAGCTGGTGAAGATTCTCAGTCATTCAGGTCATAGTCCTTCCAAAAAAGTTAAGAAACAATCCACAATCAGAATTAGAGTTGAGATGAACCCCTACCCCCATTTAGGGGACAAAACCATCTCACTAGGTCAACCAGACCAACAATTACCCTAACAAACCCCTTTCAGAGGCATATACCAGTATTGGATATTGCAGACTAACAAATAACCCAAATGACTCCCCATTCCTAAAGGGCAGATCCGCTCATCCGGTTCAATTTGCATGTTCTAAGCCAAAACAAGTTTGTTGTGCTACTCTATAAAGCTTTGAACTCAACAGCAATTCTGACATTTTGAATTGTAAAAGCTTCCTGGATGGGAAGCGAAATGTCTTCAACTTGGAAACAAAGTTCAGTGGATTGTTTTTTAACTTTTAAGCATTATAAGATAAGTTTAAGTGAATCTAGCGTTAATGACGCATGGTCAAGATTATGTTTATGACACACAAAAGCAAGTAGTTAGTTATGTCAGGAAGAGAGGTCAAACATTTAGACAGACTTATGCCAGAAGCAAGGGCGTAGGAATATGTTTACAATTGGGGGGGACACATGTCGGAAATCTGAGATTCGTAAATATTCAACAGAAACATGTCTTAAGTA